TATATTTCCAGCTCTTTCATTTAAGTGCAATTTATTTCCAATGTATGAACATGAATACTGTACAAGCTTAGTCACTTATTTGTAATTTAATTCAGTTTTTATATAAAAGTTAAAATTTACCAGGCAATTGCTTAAAAAAATAGTTTAATAGATGTTGCTGTAATTTAACACTTTTGATTTTAATGTTTTCAGAAATTTGCTAAATCAAGTTTATCTTCGTGTGACCTTGCATCAAAGGCACCGATAATAAATTTGTTTTGGCATTTAGTGCTAAAATTTTTAAAGAAAAACTTATTATTGATGTAAAAGAAGGAACAAATTATATTTATCTTGGTAATATGTCTTATGATATGCTTATTTACGGTGTCATGATATTGCAGTAACTTAACGGGCATTTCATATAACTTGTTTCTTAAGTTGCATAACCTGTTTTCATAACATTTTGTTATCAAATATATATAAAAGGTAAATTTCTAATGAAATATTCTTCATTTCACAGCAGTGTTATTTACCGTGATATAACGTGTGTTCACATTTATTATACGGTTATGATCATTATTCATTATAGAGCTTTATATATTTGTTATATACATTTAATTTATATCATTATGTTTTACATGATTTTGCTTTTAGAATATATCACAATATATATTTCGAGTTGCTAATAGAACTACAGTGGTTCCCAAAGTGTTCGTACACTTATGATTTTCATTGAAATAGGGCTCTATCCATTAATTAAAAGTAAACTTTCTGAATGAGACTTTAATAATAAGATCTATAATCTATTTGTAACAAAATTATATAAAATATTTTTTAAATGTAGTGAAACTTTATTTTTAAGAAATTAATAATCAAAAAATGACAAACATTTTATCTCAAAAAAATGAAGATCTTCATTCTAAGAACTTAGTTGGAGGCTATATGCCTTAAGGGAGGGATGCCTTTGTGTAGGACTTTATAAGGGAAACTGGCTCGTATACAAGTTACACATGGGGAAAACCACGAAAACACCCATGCAGCCAGCCCGTTCGCAGGATTCGAACCTCGGACCGAGCTACCAGTGTTCAGCGGCGTTACCGCTCGGCCGCTGGTGGTAATTATGTGAATTAGGATGCTATCATACCGCTCACCCGATGGCAAAAATATAGAAAAGGCAAAGTCAAAGGTTAAATTCATTAATTCTAATCAGAATGCACTAGCAAAGTAAAGCACTGTGGTTTTACATAATTTCTGATTAAGCTATTGAAATCGTACAAACTGAAATAATTCTTGCATTTAAACTTGTATTCCAAATTAAGATTTAACTTGAAATTAATGTAGATAATTACTGAGAGAATTGAATTTTTGTAGTGTACTTTACGTGAAATGAGATCACTTGGGGTCATGTGATGTGAACCGGCGAATCAGGATGTTTTACCATGAAAGCATAGTAAATTCTTAAATTAATGTCTTTTTGAAAATTTATTGGCTTTTTTACAAAATTTTAAATGACATTTAAATGTTTATACCTTTAAAATAAAAAATTCTTAGAACTAACATTTGTCTATATTTTTTATGTGTATACTGTGTGTTGTCGCTAATAAAGTCTGCTTGGCGAGATTTGCGCTGGCGAAACGGAAAAGTACCAAAATTTGCATTCTATGAAATTGTACTTTTTAAATGATAAAATTTTAAAATCTACAATCTGAATATTAGAATATGGTTGGAAAATTACCATAAAATTTCTTGTTTCTACCAAAACGCTTTTAATATTCTGCGATGGAATGGGATAGTTCTTATGAAAATTATATTATGGTACTGGAAATGGCTTCTTGTTTGCTTAAGAATAATAACCAGATAGTGAAGCTCTTACAAATTTTATCTGATTAATATAATTTATGCCTTTTTTTATAATGAAATGGCTGTTGTATATAATGATTGTAGTTGTTTAAGAGGTATGTTATATTTTCCCATAAAACCATTATGGCATACTAAAATTCATTTGATAAGTTTAATTTATTTTTGGCTGTTGGGTATTATATTTCTATGCAAATACATTATGGTATACTGATGATTATCGTCAAACTCCTAATATTTTTACTCTACTTTCGACCATTTTTGGCTAACAAAAACTGATAACAATGTACATTAGCCCCAATAATGGATAAGCATGATATCAAAACATACTCATAAATTCTCGGTGGTTTCATATAACACTGAGAAATCCTTAATAAACCACTTTTATCTGTTGATTATCTAACCAAATAAATAGCATCTGTTCCTCCCAAATTTCCACAAATAATTTTTCAAGGTTTTTTTATATGCTATATCTCTATAGTTTCTGTTGATCATGTAACTTAAAAAGAAATATCTGTTACAATAATTTTTGAAAGGACAATATTTCCATCAATCTTCTTGACTGACAAAAAAAATATGTAGATAATGTGTGGAGTTATTATAGCATAGGGAAAAACATGACACCAATTTTACAACAAATCTGGGCTAATCTTTGGAATATGGTAACAGGTAGTTTTGCGACATTTTGGTAAGGCGATAAAGGTTACTAGCTAGGACTTTAGCAGTGTACATGGATACAGTCAAGAGTGTGCGCAATGCCATTTTTGTGCAATTCTGGGATGTTTTTTTAAGTGAAAATAGGTCGACGTGTACATGGATGATACCGTGTATGTGCAATTCGTAAAAACGCGGCAAGCAGTGGGCGATTCTGCCCTTTGTCCCAATTTCGCACCTAATCTTCGTCATGATTAAGCACTTTTATTCCATAAAAGTTCTAGCATAAGCGTAATTCGGCTAGCAGATTGTTGGAAAAAAATGTTGAGTAAAAAAAAAACATGCCTTTACTTCGTGAAAACAAAATGGCGTCCGAACAAAAACTAGCAGGTTGCTGTAGCAGGGTTGGTCGCCAAATTTTAGCCAAAAAATCGCCAAGTTACCATAATCCAAAGATTAACCCAAATCTGAAATTTTGTTTTGTGAGTCTTTGGTTAAACTAAATGCTATAATTTATTTAGGATGAAATAATTCTTTGGCATAATGTAATTCATATCATCTATGTTGCTACAATTCTGTTTCAATACAAGACCATCATATCAGTGTAAGATTTCCTATGTGGAGACTTGGTTTCTAATCTTTGTGTAATATAATACAGAGAAGCTCGTACTGTGAATTCGTAAGTATAATTTATTCTTCTATTAGATTGGAATGGACTCGGTGTTTTCATATAGAATGTTTCATATTCAAAGATGTTGAAGTTCATACAATGTAATTAATTAATAGACTTATCACACAGACCTTTTTAATAGACTTATTCTTGAATTTTTGGCTCAGATATAAAGTTATTAATTAAAAACAGCATTAGAAAAGCAAAACTGATTAAAAGAACACTTCCATTATTTTTAAAATTGATATATTTAAATGCTTTTGTTCATATAAAAACAACAATAAACACATTTCTAAATAATAAGATTATTAAGAAAATTTGGAACATTTATAAAGGTTTGCAAGGACAACATGATCGATTTTGTTATAAATCACATGGTTTTGACATGTTTTGAGTATGCTCCTGCCAGATTGGTAGAAGCCTGGTGATCCTGTTATGAACAAATCTTAACAGATAAAGATATAACATGTGAATATAGAATCTAAAGAAAAGGTAAGGTTAGATTAGGCTATTTGAATATGGCTAAGCACATTGGTTATCAGCCTGAAGAAGAATGCTTTTATGAAGAACTTTATAGGGAAAACTGGTTCGTATTCACAAAACACATGCAAAAAAATAAAAACTGCACAGCCAGCTTGTTCACCAGGATTTGAGCTGAGATTAAACTAGCAGTATTGAGTTATTTAAACCACTTGTAGGACAAAACTAAAGAAAATGCTTGTAATATCATGTAATCAAAAGTTAACTGCATGTTATGTGCCAGGATTGCTTTCTCTGCTTTCTCAAGTACTGAGGTAGGTAATACTTAATCTGCTTTTTTTTTTTTTTTTTTTTTTTTAAATGTTTGGTCATGGTATTATTCATTGCATGTATTTTCTATAATACATACAGAATATTAATAGTTCTATAACAAGTTTCTTTTTTTTTTCATTTTTAAGTGCTTTGCTTGTTGTTATTCTTAAAATTGCATTTGATGATTAGTGCTATCATGTGTATAATAAATACAATAGATGCATATAATAGATCAATATATTTTTAGTATACATATAATGATTCAATATCATTTTTATGGGAAAAAAAAGACACTTTTGACTGCACAGATTTTCTAGAAATCCCAAGTAAAACACATATGAAATCATTTGTTTACAATCAGTGAACGTTAAAATCAGCTACCTGTCACAATACAATAAAACAGCGACACAATTTCCTACAACAGCCAGCAGTTCCTCCTTTACATGAACAAGAATTTTTTTTTTTTTTTTTAATTTTTATTTGTCCTTTTTGAACAATGAAATGTCCTTCGATTTCATGCGATCAGGACGCTATAGAACTTATCCTTAAATAGAAAGCCAAAACTTGTACATTGGATTTCAAGTAAAATTTCGTGCATTACCAAATGATCAGCTTTTTAAAATGCTCTCTGCTTCAGTAATACAGCGAGAATTTACGCCTCCTTGAACAAAATCAAACATTTCGGGAGAGCTAAGTAACTCCATTTTTGAATGTACGAAGTCAGATCACAAGTCAAAATACCGAGTTTTATCCGCCATACTAATGTGTGAAAGCGCCATCTATAGGTGAATTGAATCGCGGATATAGCAAATTCTCGAATACGCGGACTGTCAAATTCAGCATAATTTGTACGAGAATTTATCAATGCTACTGAAAATTAATTTTTATCTCCTAATTAGTTTTAACTATTTTATTAGTCTAGTACAAGTCTTTGACTAGTATATAACTCTAGTAACTAATTTTTTAAAATTTGTTAGGTTAAAATTTGAGTGTCGAATATACAGCAATATTCTCTCTCAACTCTTCACATACCGCTATCTACAGCCATTTTCTTTTGATTGCAGTGAAGAGGAAAGGAGTTACCGTCGATAACCGATTTTGCTTTCGGCCCAATTTCAGAATTTGAGATGAAGTTATCGGATTTGAAAGTTGCAGACTTGAAATCAGAGTTGGATAAAAGAGGCTTAGATAAATCAGGTGTGAAGTCTGTATTAATAGAACGATTGCAAAATGCACTTGAAAAAGAAGGTATTGATCCCGATGAGCACGAGTTTGAACTCGGTACTGATGTGAGAAATTCGAAACGAAAAAGTGATACTGGAACACATTCTGAAGGGGGAGATGATGAAGACATGGATACCGGAGAAATAAATCAAAAGGTAAATTCAGGTGTTACTGGAAACTTAGAAGAAAATGATGAGGACGATGATACTCCCTGTAGCGATGAAGAAATGGATGATTATAAACATAAAGAAGATACAGAAAGTGCCCGTTTTCGAACCGCGACACAGATACGACAAGAAGCACCTAAGGATGGAAAAGATACGAATGTTGAGGGGGATGTTGAACAAAATTCTGAGACATCAAAATTAGATGATGGTGAATCAAATAAAGAGGGAATTCTGTCTGACCCGGGTGCACCAGCAGCAATGGAAACAGCTGAGACCGGCAGTACCGATTCAAAAGGTAATAAGAGTAAAGTTCTGAAAGTTATTGGTAAAGATAAAGTCCAGCAGGTTGCATTAACTGCTCGTACACTTTGGGTTACAGGTTTAGCTAGCACATCTAAAGTTTCTGATCTTAAAAATCTTTTTAGTAAGCACGGAAAAGTTACTTCAGCAAAAATTGTCAGGAGTACTAAAGGTACTCAGAGGAAATGGTATGGTTTGCTTACAATGGCTACAAGTAAGGATGCTTCAAAGTGCATACAAAAGTTGCATCGAACAGAATTTGGCGGCCATGTGATATCAGTTGAACGTAGGCAGACAGCACCAATTGTAAAAAAGTCTGAGGCTTCCACTGTTAAAAAGCAAATTTTAAAGGGGGATGTAAAAGATACTTCTGCTTTGAAAACGGCTGATGCTAAGAAAGGGCAGTCTGATGATGATAAACGAAAGGAATCTTACTCGGGGGATGCAGGTGAAGATAAAGATAAGAGTGATGATGAACGAGGAAGCACCGAGAGAAGTTACAGAGGTTATGAGGGTAGATCATATTTCAGGGGGCGTTATGGTAGAGCACCATTTAGACGACCATTTGGTTTTCGTGGTCGTGGGCTATCTTTCAGGGGACGGGGACGTTTTTCTGGTTTCAGACGGCCGTTTGGTCGTCCACCTCCTTTTGAGCGTCCTCCTTTTCGTTCTTTCTCGAGAGGTGGTTATAGTTTTGAATTTGCTAAAAGGGGTGGTCGAATTCCACCTAGAGATTATATTCGAGATATGCGAGAAAGAGAAATTAGAATGAAACGAGAGGAAGAAATGTTTAGGCACAAAATTATTGTTCGTAAACAAAAAGAGGAGGCTTACAGATTGGAAAGAGAAAAAAATCAGTTGCGTCTTGAAAGAGAAATGCTAGAAAGAGAAAAGGCTGAAATGCTGAAATTAGAAAGGGCGAAGCAGCGGATGGAAAGAGAGCAGTTAGAAGTAGAACGTGAAAAATTGAGGCGTCAGGCCCATATGGGTCATCCATCAAAGAGACCTTTTAACCGCCGAGGCGGTGGTCCGCCTATGTGGGCTGAAAAAAGGAGAGAAATACCTTATGATGACCCATCCGCTAGCTTCCATAGGGATAAATTTCCACCTGAAAATAAATTTCCATATAATCGTGAGCATTCAGCTTACAAGAAACCAGATTTTCCCCATGAAGATTTTAGGCGAGAGAAAATTGATGTGCCACCACCTCATCCCAAATTTGCTGAAAGGGAAGAGCGTAGAGAAGTAACATACCATGGTGGTCCTGACCGTCGGGTCTATTCCCGAAATGAATTCAGAGGCCCCCATCCGGGTCCTAGTTCTTCTCCACCACCAAAACATTTCCCGCCAAGAAGCAAGCCTCCTCGAGAGGAATGGAAATTCCATGAGCGTCGAGGAGGAGATAAACCAGGCTATCCTCCAAGGGGCCATAAAAGAATGGCTTATTATTGATGTGTGTAAAAAAATACTCACCTAAACATGTATTCTCTGTTGACTTCAAATCACTGTCTGAAATTGAAATGTTCTTTATTATTTGGATTCTGATATTTTGTAGTTGTATAGACAGTTAAAAAATTTTTAATAGGCATATATCAGAAGACTTTTAGTAGTAATGACATTGCTAAAATTCATGAGAAATCTTGTTTCATAATTTAATTTTCCACTTAATATTTGAATATTATTTGTACACCATTGGAGACCAAACATAAAAATGGTATGTAGGATTTTTTATGTTGATTTTTACGTGCTGATATTACCTTCAGAAAACTTTTTTTCCTTGCTTGTAACTGCATTGTGATGTGAGACAAAAAGTTCATTGTTTTGCATTTTATTGTTACTCATAATATGTTATTCTGAAGAAAAATCATTGCAAATTTTCATTCTAAAACAATCAGTTTTTTAGTCTGTCTGCATTGTAATTTTAATTGCATATATAGCCTTGTAAGAGCAATTAATATTTTAGTAAGATCATACTTTGGAATTTTATCTTGTTAGTTGTATACTGAAAATAGAATTCAAATTGGAAATTTTTCTTGTTATTTGTATATTGCGAAACAGAATTGAAATGAAAATTTATCTTAATTTGTATATGAAAAAGAAAAGTAAAGATTATCTGTTATATTCTAGAAACAGAAAGTATTCTACAGTGTTTGCTTTTGAAAACTATTTGCATTGATGCCATTTTTGCCATATTTTTGTTAAATAAATTGCCAGAAATAAGTTCACATTTTGTATAGTTCATCTGAAAGTCTGTGTATATCATTCAGTAGATTTTGAACATTTTAAGAAAAAAAGTATGGAAATGCTAAGAAAAAATATTTTTAACCAAAAAGTTTTCTGTGCATATTTGTAATCTGCTATATTACATGTTTGTGAACTTGAAGCATATTATAAAGAAATGTAATAACCTCTGATGCTGATTCTTAGAAATATGTTTAAGAAAAATGTGAATCATTTGATAAAAGTGCAGTTTGGCGAAACAGTGGATTGATTAATAAAAGAAAAATAATAATTCAGTTTTGTTCTACTGTAATAACACATATGAGCAGTAATGTTGGATGACATCTTTTGGTGTACTAATTTAACTTATTTTTGTTGAATTTGAAATAATAGCAAGAATTTACATCTTTATAAAAGTATAAATCAAGCGATACATTTTTAAGGATTGGTGGTGTCGGAGATCAATGAATGCCTGATTTCGTAAATTTTACTTGTACAATCTGGTAATTAAATGTGGAAGTTATTGCACAAAATTTAACAATATTGAAGATGGTGTTTAAAAGCTCAGTTTAAGTCATTCTTTTGATTTCATATGCAAAATTCACTTTCTAAACAAATATAGGGTACCAATTTATTTTATTTTATTGAAGTCAAGTTTCTTTGTCATTATATATGTATAAGGAATATCAAGTCTTGAACAGTTAATTGCTTGATGGATTTTTAGGTAATATGAAATTAAATCTATTGTTTTATATGGAAGAATATAATATGCATCAACACTTATACTAAAATAGTTTTGTAAAATGTTTCAAAAGTTATTCAAGATTCAGAATTTTCAAAATGTATCTTGCGTGAAGAATTTATTTTTGAGCAAATTGCTATAATAATTAGTGGAAATGTTACATTATTTTCTGAAAAAATGCATATATGTTTAGATAAATTGTTTGGTACTAGAAGTAGAATCAGAATTATAAGATTTTAAATTAGTGATCACCTTGGAAGTCTTATGCCAAAAATACTATCTTTTTCAAGATAATAGATTTACAAAATAGTCTCAAATCTTGAATTTTTTAATGCAGAATTTCAAATGAATTAAAAATATTGGGCTGATTTCATCATGAATATATATACACATGCAATTTTACTATTCTTGAGTGTTCAAAAGGAACAGACATGCATTTTTAGAAGATTTTGAACCAACATTTTTAATCAAGTCATTCTAAAAAAATATTTTTTAAGTATTGAAGATGCAGTTTTTAAACAGTTATCTCAAATCATACGATTCTGCTGTCAGGATTTTATGCAGTTTATTTTCATTTGGTTTATATTAGCCTAACCAACATTTCCCCCTTTAATTATATATAAATGTCTGTGTAACTTTAGTTATGAATACTGAAATTTCATGAGTTTTCAGGTGCTGAAACGAACTTAGAAAATTAAAATTAATCACTGATTTAAATAACGTACTGAATAATCAAGTGAAAAGAGTGATATTAATTTTGGGATAAGAGGTTTCTGTCAGTATTTTAATATTGCAGTGGTTATTTTGTATTGTGGATTATTTATCCCCAAGCTAATATAGGGTATTTATTGCCTGTCAAAGTTTGTTAAATTCATACAGTGGAAAAGAGTATAAATTTTCTCTAATCATGGTTTCATACAGTGGAAAAGAGTATAAATTTTCTCTAATCATGGTTTCATACAGTGGAAAAGAGTATAAATTTTCTCTTATCATGATTTATATGCAGTGTGGAAAATGTCAGAAAACAGTTCTAAATTCTGTTAAAGGCTAGTATTAAAATTAGGTGTGTTTTTTAGTCCAGAAGGGCTATTAATTTCGCTTTGGCATTTTGCATCACTTTTCAAACTATTGCCACCAAATATTACAGTCCCATATTATATTTAAAGAAGTTTAATAATGAAGAATCTGTATACATATATGTATGTTTCTCGCATTGGGATAAATATTGTAATACCTAGAACCATTGAATTTTGAATAACACACATTTCCACCTGAATATGGGCATCTTGAAGTCCAAATTTGGAATTTGTTTTATTATCTTGTTCATATTTTGTTAAGCTTTAATGAATTTTTTTTAAAGAAACTCAACGATTTCAAAGCGAGCAATGGTAACACTGTATGAGAAAAAAAACTTTTTTTTAAATCTCAAGAACACAACATGACACTGTGTATTGGAAATTCTAAAGTTATGCTCATTTAAAGATAATTTTGCAATATTGCTGTTGAATTGAATGTTATAGTTTAAGTGCAAAGAATTTAATGAATAAAGGTAACACACAAAATGCTGGAAAAAGACCCTTTGGAAAAAATTTTTTAGGCTTTGTACGCTATTAGGAAGACACTTTTATACTATGACTGTGCCTTTGGATGTTAATCCATTATGCCAATATTTGGAAAATATAGTTTTGTAGGTGTTTTTCCATGGATGAAAGCTTTATTTAAACGTAAAATTTGTAATTTTGCTCCTAGGAAGGTGCTTATTTTGTATTGCACTGTATGTTAGTCTTCAGAAGATGTATGATCCTGCACTATATGCTAAAGGTCTTCAGAATTTTGAATGGCATTTTTTAAAATAGACCTCAGCTATTGTGAGATAGATTTATCTACATATTTTATTTTTAATTGGCCAAAAAGTTGTGAAAGGCAATTTAGGAAGTCTTGCTTTTAATTATCAATTAAGTCATAGCAAGTTTGAAGTTTTCACTTTAAGCTACTGCTTGAGTAGAGCATAATATTGTATAAAACCAAGACATTTGATCTTATCTTTCATTTTTAGTTTTTATTATATATATCAGTAGTTGGAATTTGCTGCCATATTAGAAAGTTTGGTAATTCTAGCTTTTTTTGCAAGCAGTTGTGAAAGATGCTAATAATTTTACTCTGCAGCCAGATTTTAAAGGTAAGTTAACTCATGTATTTTATTTTATAATTATACCAAAAGCTATTCAAATAAGATTAATTTTTTTCTGCATTAAAAGTTTGCATCAGAAAGTAATTTCATTAATCATTGAGTTATTAATCTTTGAATTACTAATTGAATTACTATCGGCTAATCTTTGGAATATGGTAACAGGTAGTTTGGCGACATTTTGATAAGGTGATAAAGGTTACTAGGTAGGACTTAAACAATAATCTGAGAATTAGTACACAGTTTGAATTGCAGATTATTTTGTCTCAGAGAAATGAGAAATGTAATGTGACATTTTCCGGAAAATTCCGATCGTGATTTTAGCTAATAAGCACTTGGAAACAATTTCGCTGCTAAAGTGCAGAATTGCCCACTTATTTGTTTGTCTCTTTTTACAAAAGTAAGAAGAATTGAATTTTTGTCAATTTTCTTTGACTTTTTAAGTGAAAATAGGTCGATGTGTACATGGATAAAGTCAAGCGTGTGCGCAATGCCATTTTTGTGCAATTCTAAGATGTTTTTTAAATGAAAATAGGTCAACGTGTACATGGATACCTATGTGCAATTCTTAAAAAACGCGCGGTGGGCGATTCTGCACTTTCTCCCAATTTCACACCTAATCTTCGTCACGATGTTCCATAAAAGTTCTAGCATGAGCGTAATTCGGCTAGTATATTGGAAAAAATGTTGAGTAAAAAAAAAACGCACCTAATCTTCGTCATGATGTTCCATAAAAGTTCTAGCATAAGCGTAATTCGGCTAGCAGATTGTTGGAAAAAATTTTGAGTAAAAAAAAAAAGCCTTTACTTCGTGAAAACAAAATGGCATATATAAAAAAAAAACAAAAAAAACTAGCAGGTTGCTGTAGCAGGGTTGGTCACCAAAGTTTCATCAAAAAATCACCAAGTTACCATAATCCGAAGATTTACCAAAATAACTTGTAAAAGGGTACTTTATCTGGGTTAACTGTTGATGTGAACACATTTCCGGTTTCTGTGCAAGATATGCGTTTTTTTTTTTAAAGGTTATGTCGTTTCTATATACATAGTGATCTCTTCAAGAGTTGCTTATACTCGGCATCACGCATAATGTGGGCATAGAAATACTAAAAGGAGAAGGAAGAAAGAAGTACCTGATGACTTTAGCCAGTTTACACTTTGTGTGTACAGAACGCAAAGATGGAAAACTCCTGTGTGTGATGTTGTCCTGCTATGCTGGTATTATAGGAGGGATCGTAATGTCTACTCATGTTGGGGGAAAGCCATCTGTACGTACGTATTAATGCAACCACCTTGGCATAATTTACCAATTTTTTACAGATGAAAAGGTAAAAGTTGCTTATTGGGTGCAAGTTGGTGATCTTCATGCGTTTTTCTATCAGTATTTACCATAAGTCGGTAAACTATATCATCACACGTTGCGGCGCGCAATGAACTGGAAGTTGATTTGTCGGCACTATCCTCATCTTCAGGGCAGATGTTTTTATTTTATTCGGCTTATAATTCTTTACTAAATGTAGTGTTTCATCTCGATGTACTCCGATTTGATTTAAAACAATTTTATCGTCATTATAAATATAATGAATACGCATAAAATAGTTTTCTGGTTGCAATTTTCTAATTTCGACTATGTGTAATGTATGCTTTACGCATGTGCGCGTTAAAAGAAATTTTTAATAAAGTAAACAAATGGATATTAAGCTTTTTTTTTTTTTTTTTTTTTTTTTTTTTGTAAATTTTGATAACCTTTAGATCACAATTGCTCTTTATTTCATAAATTACAATTTCACATTTTTAATTGTATAATTTCTGCATGCCATCTTACCAGATTTAAACTGATCTATAATCCAGAAAAATCGATAATCTGGAATCGCCGAAGTCCCGACGAGTCCGGATTAAAGACTTTTGACTGTACTTCCATTTCACTAAATGTTCAATTTGGTGACTTATCGTGCCAAAAATTCCCAAGTCTAATGCGGCGATTAAATCTATTTAAAAATTTTGTTGCTTTCCCTCCCCTTGAGAATTATGTGAAAGAATTAGAACCATGCAAATTACTGTGAAAGGTATTTTCTTTTTACAATTCATAAGTTAGATATTTTTATGGTATGAAACTTGAGTTACATAAAAACCAGGAATTATGTGACAGAATAAGAACCGTGCAAATTACTGTGAAAGGTATTTTCTTCTTACAATTTGTAAATTGGATATTTTTATGGATCATAAACAAATAACCTTTTTATATGAAACTTGAGTTACATAACTTTAATTTATCTTAAAGAATTTATATACTCTTCCTGATGTAAAATTTCACTAATTTGTTGCATTGTCTTCCTACTGCTAATCAGACAATGGATTTTAAGTAAA